TGTATACAAGTAAATGCACAGATGTGTTGATAGCTATACTATGCCCGTATGTATTCATATACTCGTAGTAGAATGAGTGTTTCATAAGCTATATTTTAGAAGTTGCATACATCTGTATGTATATATGTACATATACTATCTGCCTTCGGAAATTTACGTGAAAGCGTTAGAATTTATTGTAAAATATTTTTACGTAACTTAGCATTGTACAAGGAAAATAAGCTACCTGATAAAATAAAATAAATCTAAAAAGGTATAAAGTATTCTAGAGTTTGAAACCTCCAACCCTTTTGCCTCCTCGAGTACGTATGTATAGTAAATACCGAAATATTCCGATTTATTAACACACATACATATACAGATATCGCTGATTTACTTCAAAAGTGTCATATCAAAAACGCAGCACTCGAAATAAACGCTTTAAAGTTTTGAATATACATATATGTACATACCCCCATATTAAAAATTAATACATATTTTAATCCAGTGAGATACTGGTAATCGATACAGCTATACAATTTTTACACAACATTGAAGAAGAGCCAACGGTTATTTCTGCATACGTAACTCAATTGTGGTTTTTTTTTGGATTATGCCACTATTGAAGTAACCCTGCAGTGAAAAGCCAAACCAGTTAGAAAAAATACTAGTTCATTAACCAGTATGTGCCTACCAGTTCGACAATTTCGAAGAACTTAAGCGTTCAGCGACATCTGCCTTTGAATGGCCAAAGCCAAAAATAAAAAGCAATTAATTGCTTTTCTTATCAATGTCGGCTGTGACGTCACGTTAAGACTACTGGTTATGGTTCTGAGATCGCAGCTTCGAGGTCGCTTGGAAGTGGTTAAGATTTTTAGAGTTAAATTAATGTAAGTAAAAAAAAATTATTTCAATTTAAATATAAATAACAAATTTGAAAATCTAATTGCATTGCAGAAAAAAAAAATACATATGGGAAAAAAGCTTGGCTTGGTTTTTTTTTTATTAAATCAAAATTAAAAAAATTCATTAAAAAAATAAGTTAATAAAAAAATAAAAATAAAGAAAAATTGCTCTGCGCTAGGACCTGAAGCTGGGACCTCAGGCATGCCTCGCGAGTGCTTTGCTCTGTCGGTCATTGCTACAGTTGGAGCGCCGCGAGCAAAAAGGCATACTTAAGCTTTTCACGGGGGATGAATTGGCAGATTATTTCATCAACTGGTATGGAGCGCTACTAGTATTTCTTCTTGTAGATGCTGATGCCTAGCCTGACAATTGACATCTCGTAGGACACCGCCATGTTAAAAATACCCGTCGCTAACATGGAAAAAGGATAGAACGTGAACTAATTGGGCTGAAACGCAAACTGGTAGAATTGTTCACAACTAGTAGCTTTCGCTGCAGGGAAATGAGCGGTATGTCCACATGTGCATGTACATATATAAAATTTCCCCGTAATCCAATCACTTACTGCACGCAACAATGGCAGCATGCTATTTATAGCACAAACGAAGTCACATACACACACATACATACATATATACTAGCAAGCACAATTGGGAAAATGTGCCAATTTAGCAGCCATAAAAGTCACACCTTCTCAAAGTGGCTTCACTTTCCAACTAAACACCGGCAAACACACACACACAAATCTATGTACGTTCGTACAAACACTCGCTAATGCCAACATAATCAATGTATGTATGTATGTATGTATGTGCATATGTAAGTCTTCACAAAACACAAAAACCTAAAAATATCCACGTAACATTTGGTTTGGGTTGTTTGGTCCATTGTCGGCCATTACCCAGCCACCCCACACCTGCTATGCACACGCTACACATCTGCACTGCCTCTGCTAAGACATCCGTTGCTTTCATACATAGGTGTATGTATGTATGTAAGAATTTGTTAATATGTATTTAGCACAATGGGGTTAGTTTCGTTTTGCACGATGCCGTGCGCGAGTGGCCAGCAAACAGGGCTGCCAACTTGACTCAAACCGTGCCGTGGCCCTATTTTACTTCAAATGGCGCTTAATTTTTTAATTTGACAAAAATTACATTTCAATTCAATACAACTTCTTTTTCTAAACTAAAATTACGTAATTTCTAAAGTTTATACAACTGGTTTATCTGCTTTTCGCATTGCATTTTTGTTTTAGAAATGTGGTTCTTATTTTATTTTGCTAAATAGGAAGGTTTAAAAAGAATGTCACCATTTTTGGCATTTTTATTTTTCTATTTGATACATTTTGGCACTTTTTTTAATCCTCAATATGGCACCTCATAGCCATAGGATAGTTGGCAGTCCTGCCAGCAAAGTTGCACATTTCCACGAATGTGAAAGCCAATGTGAGCAAAAACGTCCAAGCGTACGTGTATGTGCGTGTGTTTGCTATTTGTTGAAGTGTTTGTACAATCAATGGCTACATATTAAGCTACAAAAAAGTTGGGGTGCAGGCAGATGGCGCGGCGGTGGCAACAAGATGCAACGATCACGTGCGATTGACACACGTATGTAGTTGCAGGTGGCGTTCAGAAATGCATCAAGCCAAAGCATCAGTTTCTTTTATTTACTAAACTATAATTGTTGGAAATGTCTTATTTACGCAAATTAGTTCGAATTCGGCTTTTAATCGTGGTTGCACATGTTTGAGACATTTCCATCAATTATACATAGTTTAGGAATAAAAGCGGCTGATGCTTTGGCTTGATGCATTTCAGAACGCAGTCGTATTGTTTTGCATGTTGCTTGTTTGTTGCAAGATATATGCATAAAAAAGCTTATAAAAAATATGCAATCTATTCGCTTTAGTTTTTTATAGAAAATAAGGATTCTGAGCTGCCATACGCGCTCGGCTCTAAAAGTACAGATGCACACTTACATAAGTATGTCATAACTATAAATATTTTTTAGTCATAAATCCATATCCATACTTTTACTTGGAAGTATTGATACCTGAAAAATATCGGATCTAAAGTAACGATACCTACTCATATCAGCACTTTTGGCTATTGGAAGGTATTCCGTATGAACTAAATAAGTTAAATTTTATTTTTTTAGGTCATAAGTAAACCGTTATCTGGTTTGGCCGAACACAGAGTGGTGTTGTCTATTAATTGTTACCGAGAATGGGTTCAGCTCAATAAAAATAAAAAACCATAATTACTCGGTATCGAACGAAAAGTATCGTTTCATTCATAGTAATACACGCCTCCTAAAATAACGAGATGTAGGCGCACGGGAAAATAAAATGCAAATATTTTTTTTAGTTATATAAAATGCATACATTATTTATTCGCCATGCTTTTTTCAATTGTATGCTTGTTTCATATATGCAAACACTGAGTTTTGCATTCTTCTACATCAGTTGCTTTTGGCGCGTGCAGCATACTTTTAGGGGTGTGATAGTAGTTTCTTATGCTTTGTTGTTGCCATTGTTTGTTTCCTTGATTAAATACATATCGCTCGGAAACATTTCCGCAATCAGCAACATCGGCTTAATGGAACTATCCTCACACATACTCACGTACATAGTCGCATGCGGAGATATGCGTGTGTGGGCTTGTTTCCCTTATCACGTTTTCGTACAGTCGCTTCTGTTTGTCTACTTGTTGCTATACTCCATTGATTTGTAATGATTTCTGTAGTTTCCTTTGATGGGGTAAGTAAGCAACTAGTTACAGCATTTCAAAGACCTAAGAAAATTTAATTGGCGTCCGTTTTTTTTGGCGGATGTCGAGATGGCGAAGAACTATCACGTGACCCATACACAACGGTCGAAGCAAATTTGCAACTTTTTAATTAAACTTTTTAGAATTTATTTGAGTACAAAGTATTTTAATTCATTAAATTTTGAATACAAGTTTTCAATTTTTCGCATATAAAGTATTTTCGATTCGTTTTGTATGGAAGAAAATGCGTGAAAAAAATTGCCAAAACAAAAAAATCAAACGTGGACTTTACAATATTAAAATGTAATGGGTTACAAAACGGCATTTTCGAAAAAATAGTAAAAAATTTGATTTTCAAGTTAAAAATTTCCGCAAAAATGTATTGAATTTCCTTGAGTTTTGCACAATGTTTAGATATTTACTTTAAAAAAAATTTGAGAAAAAACATAAAAATAGCAACTGTTGCATAAATTGTGAAAACATTTCCGTGCCAATACTTTTGGCCTTCAGTGTATGCATGCAAGTATTTATTCACTATTATACAGTTTGATAGACACCTCATTGGTTTTCCTAGCTCCTTGCTCCATGCACGACACGCTCGCACGTGCATCAAATGGGCGCGCAATAGTCGATTTAAAGCAGCAGTGCTACAAAAGCCACTTCTCCGCGAGCTTAACACTTGCTGATTTGTGCAGAGCTTGAGCTTGCTGCACGTTCATGAATGCTGTAGTATTGTAGCACGTTGCCACGGTTGCCTTAATACCGTTGACTATCGTTGACTATAGTAAGTACTTTAAAATGGTGGCCTTTCTTTTTTGCCCACCACGAGCGTCGACGTATGTTGGAAATGCGTGATGCGGGACTTTCTTGCTTTGAGGAATGAATGGGGAGGGGGTGTGATACGAGCATAATTCTATAGTGTTTAAAAGAATGTGATTGAAGTACATGTGGATGCGTACGAATAATTAAAAACCCTTGGTTTCGCATTCGCTGAGCTTAAAAAGGCTCATATTTCCAAGAGTAGTTCGGCTTTGGTTAAAGGTAATCCCTCTCTCACTCTTAGGGATAGGTTTCGATCCCAAGCTTTTTTCGATGATGTAGTCTTTATGTAGTAAAGGCTTCCTACAACGGTTGTTAGGACGTTTGCGACTCTGGAGAACCCAGTTAATAGACTTGTGATCAAATTGATTAATTCAAATTTACCTCTTTTTTTTGTTGCTTTACTACTTATTTCACATCTTAATTGTTCACTTAAATTAATCCCATTCTACACGTTCTTTATACTAAATAATATTTATGATTAAGCTTACTAAAACAAATCTACTTTTAAATGTTTCTTTACAGATTCTCGAACGCTAAAGATCTTATCGTAGACTTTTGGTGAATTGTTTTCAAACATTTCCAACACAATTCAATTAATAAATCGACCAAATGAGTGTCGAAGAGAACTATTCTGTTCTACAAACTTAAACGTCCATTTCTTAATTAAAACAATAACAAACTTGTAATGGACTGGCTATTGGCAACACCGCAGTTACATAGCGCCTTCTCTTCATTGGGTTCCCTTGAAGGGGACACCTACGTTGTTGGTCCTGATGCGTTAGGTGAGTATAACTGAAATAACATTGCTCTCTCACACCACACATACAATATCAGCATACATACATAAACATGCATATTCACTGCTTTCTTTATTTGCTCTCTCTTTTTTTTATTCTCATTACGATTTAACACACCGCATGCAGCTATCCTGGAGGAAATAAACTATAAACTAACCTATGAAGACCAGACGTTACGCACCTTTAGGCGCGCCATCGGCTTCAGCCAGAATGTGCGTTCCGATCTGATACCGCTGCTGGAGAATACCAAGGATGATGCTGTGCTCGATTCGGTCATACGCATCTTGGTTAACTTGACTGTGCCTGTTGAGTGCCTCTTCTCGGTAGATGTTATGTATCGCACCGAAGTCGGTCGACATACCATCTTCGAGTTGAATAAGCTGCTCTATACAAGCAAGGAGGCCTTTACCGATCCGAAAAGCACAAAATCTGTTGTCGAGTACATGAAACACCTGCTGGAGTCCGATTCGAAATTGTCATTGCAAAAATGTGACAAAATCAACAATTGCTTGCTGTTGCTGCGCAACGTTTTACACATTCCAGAGACGAATGTGAACTTGGTTATGCCCTCAGCACATTCTCAGCAGGGCGGTTCGCACCCGGTGTCGATGCAGAATGCGATACTCTGGAACCTTTTCATACAAAGCATTGACAAGCTGCTGCTCTACCTTATGACATGTCCGCACCGCGCCTTTTGGGGTGTCACCATGGTGCAGCTGATCGCGTTGATGTACAAAGATCAGCATGTCAGCACACTGCAAAAGCTGTTGAATTTTTGGTTTGATGCTTCGCTATCGGAGAGTTCGGAGGATAACGAGAGCAATACCTCGCCACCGAAACAGGGTAGCGGTGACTCTAGTCCCATGCTTACATCGGATCCCACTTCTGATTCATCGGACAATGGTAAGTTCTGCAACACATTTAAAATTGACAAAGTAACGGCAGAGTTCGAAATGCTGATGCCAACGGCAACATCAAATGCCAATTTACGAACACAAATAGGTGCACTAAATAGTCCTATTTATGTTTTAATAGGTAGCAACGGCTGCAAGAACGAGAGCGCCGAAGATCGCCGGCAGGCCATGCGCGAGGAGGCCACGGAAGCCATGTTGCAGGAAGTTAGCCGCAAGGGACACGAATATCAAAACTCGATGTGTGACGCGCAGGTGAAAAAGGAGGATTTGTGTAGCGCTGACAACAATGTCGACTGCGAACAGCCGTGCACATCGCCAACGGCTGACGACATGACGCGTATACACATAAAAGTCGAAGCAATGGATGAGATGGCCGATGGTGATGAAGTTGAACGAGGCGGCGGTTCGGACGAGTCGGCCGACTCAAAACAACCTAGCGGTATGATTGAAGATTGCAACAACCAACAACAACAACAACAACCAGCTAAACGCAGTCAACACACTACCCTCAAGCCGAAGCAAATCGACGCAGATGCGACTAAATTCAAAGCGCCACCAGTGGTAGCGAAATCCAAGCAGACGTTGTCGGGATCGGCTTACATGAATGCCGATGAGGTCAATCCGATGCCGAAGCTTTGCCAAAAGGTGCCGCATGCCGGCCAGCTGAGCCTAACAAAGGGTAACAGTGGCCCTCAGAAGCGCGAATGCCCCTCCTCACAATCGGAGTTATCGGATTGCGGCTACGTTACACAGGTGGAGAATCAGGAATCCATATCCACCTCGAGTAATGACGATGATGGTCCACAGGGCAGGCCGCAACATCAGAAACCACCGTGCAACAGTAAACAGCGTAGCAAGCAGCGAATTGTGATGGCCACGGTGGACAAGAAGGATACGCGCCGAAAGAAGCTCGTCAAGCGCAGCAAGAGTAGCCTGTAAGTTTAGTTTGATGTTAGCAGAAGATGCACTTAAAAATATGTTGCTTATGTGTACATAGTTAACACACATTTTCTCCGTACTTTCAGTATCAGCATGAAGGGTCTGGTACAACACACACCAACCGATGAAGATATCTCGAATCTGCTGAAGGAGTTCACAGTCGATTTCCTACTCAAAGGCTATGACTGCCTGGTGGGCGAGTTGCACTCACAGCTGCTGACCAATATCGTAAGTATTAACAAGTTTAGAGAAATTAGTACTTGTAGTACTTAGTAGTGTCTTCGTTGTACAGAAAATACCCATCGACACATCACATTTCTTCTGGTTGGTCACCTACTTCTTGAAATTTGCCGCTCAGCTGGAGTTGGATATGGAGCACATTAGTGCAGTGCTTACCTATGATGTCATCAGCTATTTGACTTATGAAGGTGTAACGCTTTGCGAGCAATTGGAATTGAATTCACTCCAGGAGGGCAGTGATCTGAAGCCATATTTGCGACGCATTCATTTGGTCGTAACGGCCATACGAGAGTTTTTGCAAGCGATTGAGACCTACAAAAAAATAAACCATTTGAGTGAAGTGAGTAGTAGTCCTAAGATCTTTTAGTTTCTAGTAGTGGTTGTGGAAGAACTATCTTTAGGTCGTTACTTCCTCTTCCTTTGGTTGCATAACTTTCTTGATTAATACATATTTATATTTAGAATCTGTTAATTTTTCTTGCAGGATGATCGTTTACACTTGCGACGTCTACAAAGTCAAATCAGTTCCACTGAAGATTTGCGTTGCCTATTCGTTTTACTTTTACGACGATTCAATCCAAATCTGCACACCAAACAGTATCTACAAGATTTAGTAGTGACAAATCATTTACTACTTTTGATTATGGATTTCATCACACAAACCGAAGGCGATACCAGCAGCATCAAAATGACCGAGCATATATCTCAGTGAGTATCTATATAGTTTTTAGACATGATTCCTTTAAAAACTAACAGTTATGAAATTGAAACTTTTGCAGATTTGCAACACTCGAGATAATGAACTACTATGGCATGCTTTTGGAGGACTTCAACAATAATGGCGAGTTCGTTAACGATTGCATATTTACAATGATGCATCATGTTGGCGGTGATCTGGGTCAGATTGGCACGCTATTCCAACCGATTATATTGAAGACATTCTCGCGCCTTTGGGAGACCGATTATGAGTTGTGTGATGTAAGTTGAAGAATTCACTTTAAATAGTTTCTCCTGTATGCATGTGTGTAATATTTTGCCACACCTTATTAGGATTGGTCCGATTTGATTGAGTATGTCATACATAAATTCATAAAAACACCACAAAAGAGTCCGCTGTCCCTGCCAAAGGCGTCACTCACCGAACTAACCAAGGAACACAACTTGGAGAATACAATGTGGTGCGTGTAGAATACTTATACCGAATTTCCACTAGGCATTGAAATGATAAAAAATTGATGCCATTTAAAATATGCCATGTAGAAAGGAACTTAATGACTATTTTTTTTAACAATTTCTTAATGACAGGTTTATTTTTTAATGCACAACTTTGTCATAACAATTTTAGCCATTTAATGTCTAGTGGAAAACCAGCATTATTTTTAGTTATTTAAATTGAAAAATTTTAACGTTTTTAAAATATTCCTTAGCGCTTGGACTCAGGAGGAAATGGACACGTTGTACTGGTACTATGTGCAAAGCAAGAAGAATAATGATGTTGTTGGCAAAATTGTGAAGCTATTCAGCAACAATGGCAATAAGCAGAAGTCTCGCATTTCCATTGTACAGCAGCTACTGCAGCAAGTGAGTTCGCATAACATCGAATAATTCCAAAATTTTCAACTCTTCCCTTACAGGATATCATAACCCTAGTGGAGTATGATGATCTCATGAAATTCGAGGATGCCGAGTACCAACGCGCATTACTTACCACACCAACTTCGACTTCTACCGAATCGGGCATCGACTTAAAGAATTCCTCAAGTTTTGCTAAGCCTTCTGATGATATACAGGTATATTTAGAGTTTGATAAAAGCTTTGCATAAATACTTATTATTCAATTTGCCTCTATTTCTAGATTCTACGTGACCTTATAGTTAAAGAGAATAAGGAAAAACATCTGGTTTGGTTGCAAAAAATATTGCTTGAGTGTTGTTATATAAAGCTGATTTTGAAGAACTGTTTACAACGTGAAGATCGACAGGATTTGCAGTATGTTATGGAACCAGTGGCCTATCATTGTATATGTAAGTATAAACGAGGGTTTAGAGCGAGTTTAAGGAGTTAGGATAAGCATGTAAAATTCCTTTGATACACTTCTCAGCTGTGTCATGAAATTTGTGATGTACTAAGTTTCAACGGCGGCTATGAGCTTCGATAAAAATCTATTTTTAAAGAATTATTCTACCTGTTTTTACAGAATTTAAAACACAATTTTTATATAATTTATTTTATTATTTTTGATTTAAAGTTTGCATTTTTTTCAAAATTTAAGGACCTCTAAAGATCAGTTAGAGGTATTGTAAAAAAAATTTGGCCCACAAATTTAAATAAGTTTTTTTTGCGATTTTTTAAATTTCAAAATTATGATTTTTTTTTAATTTTCGGATTTTATTTAGAGTATTTTTTTTTCATAAAGCCTTTAAAATGGGACCAGAAACCTTTTTGCAGCTAAAATACTTTTTGATATACATATTCAAAAAATTAACTTGCAGAATCCGGGAAATTGTATAGTTTTGAACTTTAAAAAAAACTGTATTTTTTGCCTTCTGCAGAACGTTGTTATATGATAAAAAAAAAGTTCTGATCTAAATTAATCCAAATAAAAAATGGTCGATTCCAACTACAACTGAGACTCTGTTTCCATAGAAAGTAAATATACGCCGATGCCCTTCAAGCGCATTTTTTTCAGAACAAAATGTTGTGTTTAAAGGGCAGAGAAAGCAGCTCAAGATATGTACTTACCTTGAGTTGAAACAAATTTTACATTATCTACTCGTACTTATGCATACACATATTTGTATGAAAAAGAAAATGTTGTCCAAATTTATTCAACTTTGGTTTTTGCTTTATGAAATTTCAGTTAAAAACAAATCGATTCCTGTCGTGCAATGGAACAGCGAGCAGCGAACAACAATGCTCTATCAACCCTTCGTACTTCTATTACACAAGCTTGGATTTCAATTACCTGCCGATGCGGGTTCGATTTTTGCACGCATTCCCGATTTCTGGACCGCAGAAATGATGTTCAGTTTGGCGCGCAAACTGGGACCCCTGGACAAATGTGAGTAATTTGAAAAAGGTGGGCTAGATGTTGATTGGTCAATATTATGTTCTTTTTCTTTCTTCTGTTAAAAAAAAAAATAAAATAATATCGTAAAAAAACCGATTGAACAACGTAACAACAATCAATTCAAATATATTTCTACACACAAACTCATGCAACGAACTGACTATGCAAATCAAATGGATGAATAAAAAAAAAAAAAAAAACAACAACAAATCCTTCTCAACACAACTCAAACAAGCAAAATCCACCAAACAAATTTTTAATTACGAAAAAATATTAAATGGTTTAAAATTTTTATAAAATGCATCGTTTTGTACAAAATGTAAATACATCCACATATGTACATATCTATGAATGCCTCCGCACGTTCGTCTCGTTCGTTTTCTTTTTTCGTTTGTTTACTACCATCCAATTACCAATTGTTGTCCTCTCTCTATTATCCTTTCACCTTTCCACTCTCTGTGTGTATTTCTCTCGCTCTGTCTCTCTTGTACTTTTGATCTTATAGTGTTGATCAAGTTCGATATGAGTCAGTTTGAGGAAGCAAATGCAATAGAGTCGCAGCGTTGTTATCACGCAACAGCCGCACGTGGTTCGCTTTCCTCAATGTCCAGCCTGGAAATGGATACTGGCGGTTCCGATGAGTACACAGCTGTGGCTAGTGTCGGCATGGAGGAGGGTAATCGCAATGGTAGATCGAGCACAAATGGACGTTCGAGTAGTGGAAGCGGTAGTATGTTGGCGCCAGTGCTGGAAGTTGATGCTAGATTGGAGAAGGCGAGCGCATCGTCATCCAGTGATATTTTTGCTATGCCAAGAGCAAAGCATTGTAATTCGATAATAAGGTAAGTAAGAGTACTTACTACATACATAGTACATACATATATAGAGGCTAACCAAATATATTGGTAATGCAATCCTAAGCGATAAATGCGATCAATTGAGTGCCTATGTATATTTCATTGCTTTTATCTTGCTTCTCTAGATTTACACCCGAGGCCGCACCATTGCCACCAGTACCGAATTGGTTGCAAGTGGTAATGCGCAGCAAGATGAATACAAACGCCACAGCTTCGTCCTTGGATGTCGCTCTCAATGGGAACAATGTAGTTACAACAACAACAACAACAACAGCAACTGCAAATGAAAGGTATGTAGGTGAATAGTTTAAGAAAAGTATCTGATGCTTTAATTATGCTAGATTTCCATAGGGCCTTGAATGACAGATATTTTAGTGACAAAGTTGAGCATTAAAAAGACCCGTGGCATTTCATTCAAAAAATAGTTATTAAACAGCTATCCACACGACATGTATTAAATGGCACATATATTTTGTCATTTTAATGCCTAGTGGAAACTCGGCATTACACACAAATATGTATTTACTTAGCCATAAAGAAATATCGCCGTTTTCTATGCAAAAGGCTATAAGGGACATTTTTCTGGACTGAGTTCATCGAACTGTTCCGTGAGTTTGCGCTCAGACACACGTCCGCTCACAACGAAGAGTCATATTGATCTCTGTTGACCATATTTTAAATCACTGATGAGCGCTGCCTTGCCCGCGGGCGAAGCGCTTTTAAGCTTTCTATATATTTTGTATAGGCGGATGCAGAGTAAAAGCTCTCTCTGCCCATCGCTGTTTTAAATAGTCTGGAAAGCATTTTCTAAGGGTATTTGCACACAGGCAGCAGGACCATGCCGAGCGAAGCCGCTGAGAGCGGTGCGAAGCTTTCAAATTTAACTCAATTAGGGTGTTCAAACAGCAAGCTTTTACAGAGGCGCTTCGGAATCGAAGGTTCTAAAATCTCTATTTGTCTTTTTTCAGTGTATTGTCGCTGCTATGAAGAAAAAATTCAAATCTTTTATTTGAAATATGTAAATCTTTTGAAGCAAAATAAACAAACATTTTAGGCACTTTTAATTGCTAGTAGGTTTTGTGGTACATATACATATTTGTAGCCGATTAAAAAAGTATATCGAAATTATCAGAATGACGAATCGATTTAGCCATGTCCGTCCGTCTGCTTGTTTGAAACCAGTTTTCCTGCTATCCGATCAAAATTTGGCTGTATTTTTTAATGTTTTAATCATTTACATAGCTCCCATGCAACTAATTTTTCAGATATGAGTGTTTGCGTTATAACTCCTCCACTTAGACAGTTAGGAACTTGAAACTTTGTACTCCTTTCCCTCATAATCAACTAAGAGCTTACAGTGAAAGCTCCAATAATTTATTGCACCTACTAATTGTTCAGATATGAGTTTTTGTGTTACAACTCATCCAATTAAGTGGACAAGGACCTCCAAACAACCAACATATATACCCTAAGTAAATTTATAAAGCTTTCCCTTGGCTTTTCGAACTGTATGAAAATTTCGACCAATTGATTCCGTGGTTTGGCGACCAGTAGTGAATTCTCCAATACCTTTTGCTAATTTTTGTAACTCAGTCGACATTTTGATGGTTTTGCCAGCTAAGCTTTTGTAAAAATCATATTTTTAAATATTAAATTAAAAAAAAAAAATTTACTTTTTTTTCAAGGATACGCGCTTACTTTAATGCTTTTGAACAAGCATACACAATGACATAAATAACATTTTTAAGATGATAAAAATGGGGTGGAATATACAGAAATATATGAAACCGAAGGGAAAACGTTGTATAAACTATAAACATACACACGAGTAGAAGCCCCCCTAGTATTTCAGATATATATATACATAAATAATATCCAATACTATGAAGATTAATGAAGAAAACTTACATATGTACATAATTGCAATGAGCAGGTTGCAGTTTGAAATTGAAGCAAAATCGGAGGATAGCATTTTATCGATTGGCGTAAGCACTTAAAATTTATATAAAATGACATAAAACTATATATCTATAACATTTGTGGAATTGCACATTTTGACGAAAGTATTTAAATTTCTCGTTTGGCTAATTTGTTGCTTCTGTAATACTTAGGCACCTGTAGACATACATACATTCCTAAGTACTAATACTAACATAAGACTCCCTTCCCTACATAAAATTTAACTGGTATTTAACCATTTGCTCCCTTTATGAGTAAGATAACTAAGTGTTGGCGCTTACATATACATACGTACGTACTTATTTCTACGTGCTCGGCCGAGCTTCTCCTCCAATTTGTATTGTGCGTCTTGATGTTGTAGACGGGCCTAGAGTTTAACGCCGGCTAAGAACGGCAAATTGTTTTTATGAGCAGCTCCTTTTTCATGGCAGAAATGCAGACGGAGGTTTGCCAGGGGCGACCAATTTTTTTCGATGTTATTGGGACATCTGGACCTACAGAAAGGCAGCTGGTACAACTAACCACCCGGTTACGATGGCAGCTATTCCTTTATAAATACAAATTCCAATGAAAGTAATGGCTAGCTAATCAATGAACTACTTCAGATATAGTCTCAACAGCTGCAGTGTGGACCTTGCACTTTCTACGGACTAGGCAAGGCAAAAAAGCCTCATTTTATACCTACTAAGTATTTAAAGAAAAATTATTCTATCAAAAAATATTAAACAGTTGGTCGCATTTTTCGTTACTTCTCGAACTTCTGCCAATAATTGGTTTCGCATAATAAATGAAACAAAAAAATACTAACTTAAGAGAAGGCTTGTGACTGTTTACATATGTATGTACCTCAATATGATAAACCACCTAAGTCAAGACTTCCGTATGAAGAGGCCATTGCATTAAAAATTTGCAAATAAAGAAACGCACGCAGCAGAAATTTCGTTTTATTCAGTCGTGATATCTTATCTAAGGTTCGTTTTATCGAAGTTACACTGTACTCTTCTCTAAATCTTCTACTAGTTTGTTAAACGAAATTCACTATAACGCCCAGCTCATGACGAGTTTTACCGACTTCTGTCCAAGAAGAATTTCGATAACGGCCACTATACTTATCAAAAAATCGAGAATGCCTATCGTAGCATATCTGTATGAACCGATCTAATGATGAAAGCAGATTACGCGAAGAAGTTGGAATGAGTCTATATTATAGTTTCTTTGTTAAAGCTTTGGTCAAACACTTTCCTTAAAAGGTTTGCAACTAAATTTTGGATAGTAAATTCCTTCAACGTGTAGCGCGGACATAGGCTATGTCTTGCTCCGCTAGGTGGCGCATGAGTCGAGTTATTCAGAAAATCTCTATTTACGATCCGATTTTGATGAAATTAGAAACGTATATTGCGGCTGCTACGAAAATACTTTAACGAAAAATGAGTTGATGTAAAAAGATATACTGCAGGTGTGATGAGAAATACCTTTCTGAAAAATGGATTCGCTAGATGGCGCCAGAGTCGAGTTTTGCAATTCGTATTTACGGTCAAATTTTGATGAAATTAAAGCGTTGGTGACGCGTTTCCGCGGACCGCTAACTCTCTCTCTGTCAATTCACCATTTTGCTGACGTCATAGTTATATTTTTCGCAATAGTGATGACAATAAAATTTTCATATTGTACCTATTTGCCGATAAGATGAATCTAAAAGTCGATTTCGGAAAAATATAAAGATTTTCGTGAGCTGGACCGATTTGAAAATACTTAAAACAAAAAAAAAAATAGTTTTTCAAAAGGTTTTCGTCCCAAAAGGCACCTCAGATATTAGAAGAGTTTAAGCATTTAGAGCCTGTATAAAAATGTTTAAAAATTGTACCAGCAGAATCAAAATAAATCGATTTTTTGAAGGTATTTTCAAATCGATTTAGCTCACGTAGATCTTAATATTTTTTCGAAATATTTTGGCGGGAATCTTGAAATATTATAAATTTTATAATACCTACCGACAACCGAATTTTTTTTCGTGAGGCACCCTAATGTATATTCCAGCGAGATAAGGAGTTTCTCTTCTTGTAAATTATTAATGAAATGCTCCACTCCCGTTTATATTATTTAATAGTAAATGTAAATCGAATATTTACATTGAATAGCAACAAACCAATTGCGGTAACAAGTAGTAAAAATAAAAAATAAAATTATTGCCGTTTATCCAATTTTATGCAATATATGAAAATAGTTTGAGCCCATACGTTTTATGATTTTATGTATTTGCCACACAAAGGTACTACCTATACTACCTACATACATACCCGTAAACCGCAGCGCTCCTTTTACGCTCGATTGACCCGCAGCGACTGGCAACACAACACTTAATTAACATAAAAGAAAAGCAATAAAAATTACAACAAACACTTGCAAACAATTGGGGGCGCCATATATGAGTTAAGCTATTAGACACAAAAGAAATCTAAAATGTACATTTGTACATTGAAAAGTGTTGTTTACTGGCATTCAAAGAGGGGCGGCTTAATCAGCTAACAACCAAGGAAACAACAACCTGCAATCAACAATTCGCAATCAATAGTCAACAAACGTTTGCAATTTTATGAGCTTAAAGATAACAACGCGAAATGCGAAAATTAATTAATTACAAAAATCTAATAACACATAGACACTCACACACATGCATATGTAGGTATGTATTTAGTACGCGCTTACGTATTAGCCAACTTACCTAACTGTAAATGTGGACATTGGTGGCTATTGTTCAAAACCACAGTGGCGATTTGAAATTAATTAATGCGAAACGATTGCCTGCCGCAATATGGAAGAGAATATAAATTAAGTTTCACCCAAAAATGCATAGATAGCGATATATCCAAAATAATATTTATGCGCAAAAAATTTGCAAAGAAAAAGAAATACTTAAAAAATTAATATGTTTCACAGATTCGCAATACGATGTAATACGTCGTCCGTCGTCGTAATCGGTGTCGCGAAATGGGTGTTGTTGTTGGCCAGCTAATTTAATGCTTCGCTGCGCATCCGCATTGGCTGTGATCTAATAAGGAATAGTTGTCGCCTTAAAAAGCTACATAAATGCGCAAAAAAAACACAAATCTGATTTAATTTCACTTATCTGATGAACTCAAATGTGTACAAATCGCTGACGATTAGCGAGCTGTTGCATATCGCAGCTTAGTTATGTGATAACTTCTCATAGAAATGACCAGGTGTGTGTGTGTGTAATTAATTTGCAAATTTTTGCTGCTTTTAAGTATGAATGTACCTATGCCGCAAATAAAACGTGCAGATTTCGAAATTTGTTTTTTGTTTTTTTTTTAATTTATGTTTCGACAATAAAATGCGCAATGGGTTGTTGATCCGCTGCGAACAACATTGACATAACCTGACTAGCAGAGATACACTGAAATAAAAATTATGACTGTCTCCGAACGAGGGGATGGCAAATAAAGCGTGTCAACTGCTAATATTGTGGATGTAAAACTCGAAAATTTGCTTTTTGCAATCGCACACGAATTTGAAGCTTTTCAATTTTAGCAATGAGGAATTCAGAAATTCTGCATAAATTTAAAACACTATGGGGGGAGATCTGGAAAAATATGAGACAAGTAAACAATTACAAAAAGTGAAAATTAAAAGCACTAAAAAATTAAAATAAGGGCCGCGAGAAATATTTTATGGCAGCTCTTGACAAAACGCTGAATTCTATTGTGAAAACGCAGCATAAAAAGTAAGTTTTTGCAACTACAATCTTTTTAAAAATATTCTAAGTTTGCAGTTTTATAGTTCATTAAATAAAAGTGCAAGTTTATGCAAAATCCCGTTGATTTTTGATACTTTTGTTTGCTGACGGTGTCATATGTTTTCATCCATTTAAAAAAAATTCGAACACACTTTAATATCACACGCCGTCTTCAAAAGAGTCCCAACTCAAAATTTGGCATTTTTGAGATTATGCGCTAAAAATGTACGCATAGCTTTTATTTACCTTTCAGCAAAAGCTGGAGCAAATTTTTCTTATACTGTGTTAAAAAAACTGATTATTATGTGCTAAGCAATAGTTTTTCGCATTTCCTGACAAACGTATTTTTTTGAGGTGTGACTCTTTTGAAGACGGTGTGCGATGTATGGAAAAAATACGTAAAATTGTAAATTTGATATCTCTCTAAAAATTCTGAATTAAAAGTTTGCTGTTGTGAAAACCTGCTGAATTTTCATGACTTTTGAACAAAATTTGAAATGTCGATTTGTGTAACACCTCGGTCTTAATCCTGTACCGAATCCACCTGTCAGGGTAACAGCAACTAAGAGTGAGAAAATTCGCAATTTTCCAATTACGAGATTTTTACGAATTTTTTTTTCAACTTTTGTCTATGCTTTTTAAATACAATGACCCGAAGTTATAGTCAAAATTAAGTCGACTCTAAAGTTTTAAGCAGCTTTCTGACTTAACTTTCAAAAATAGCTACTTGGGTTTACTACAGTTATTTTATACTAAATCCGTCGTGTTAGCTGATTTTCGAACATCGAGTTTTTCCTCCATATCCTACCCTAGTTTTTTTTTCAATTAGGAGGCCCCTAGATAAATAGCCTGCAGACATTCAGAACAAAAAAAAACAAGACTTTTGATTTAAACAATGTTCGCTGGTTTGCGATGTGTACAAAAAAATTAAAACAAACTGCAAAGTTGAACTGTAGCAGTTATGTAAATATTTTTTTTATCTTTCAGCTTCTTTGCTAACTTTATGTGTGTGTCTAAAAATAGGTCCGGCATCCATAAATTCATTCATTCATTCAATCGCAATCGCAATCGCAGTTACCTGCATACATACATACATATGTATGTATGTGCATTTATATAAAAAGCCACAAAGCCGTACATCTCCTTTAAAGCACTTCAACAATGTTATAAAACTTTGGATTGCCAGCCATCGTAAATATTTTACACACCTCCAAAGTTGGTTTGCCATATAAGTATGAATTTATTGTTGTTGTTGCTTTCTGCAGTGATGATTTAGCATAAAATTTGCAAGATATGTTAATTTACTATGACAAAACTAACAGTACCGGTTTCGGGTTGCATGAGTGTGTGTGTGTGTGTGTGTGTGTTTGACCCTCTTTGGTCTGCAGCAGCCATTAAGAATTGAAAAGAGATTAAAAGAAAAAACATAAAGTATGTCTGTATGTATGCACATAAAATCACAATTAAAATGAAGATTATTATGTGTTCCAGTTAACAATGTAGTTTTGTTTTTTTCCCATCTAAAATTTTCATGCCATTCGGCCTTGTTTAAAATATATATACAATTTTTTAATGCATTGCGAAAATTCTGACCTATCTTTTTAGACAATTAGCAAAAGGTACATTCAAGTATTTACAGTTAATAAAATCCACTAAAAGCAAACTGTGAATTGCTCTACACAATAAAGTTTAATTAACAATCTATTCACACCAAATTTCGCATTTGCAAGCGCAACAGTAGTTAATGTGCGGGGGTGGTTTGAAAATAACAACTCATGATAATCCGGATAATTTTGTAAAAGCGCCAAAATAGATGTGGAATTGTGGCCACTCTGTACGTCATTGCGTATCTTTTTTCTTCATTTATTTGTTGAACTATTAAAATGTTCTGGTAGGCTTACTGCTGGGCGGGTTTTCGCAGGCGCTCTGCTAAAAGCAAGCTTTCCTGGAAGAAAATTGTAAAGAGCATGTCGGTAGCCTCAAATTACTGCGAATGAGCCTTTGGCAAGCGATATTGCTCCTCGCCAAAGATGGATTTCTGGCTCTATGAAACTATCATTAAACTAACTTTATTGAACGGTGTCCAAGGAGCTTAATAAGACAAATGCATGCCAAGTTCGATCTTAATTGGAATCAGTGGCATACTTTGGATCAATCCTACTCTGCCGTTTAAGGAAAAGCCAAACGTGTGTCCATGATAAACATAACAGTCAAAGCTGCCGCTGAATGAGCGTTCGTTCGAAAATGCTAAGTGAATGCCTAACGACTACTCTCTTAACAGATATATCGTAGGTAACTGTATGGACGATGAGTTAGCAAGGATTGTCGCCGAGTAAGGGAAGGGTTAGAATTCTACTGGTTATATATGGTCTGCTTCTGAACATATTTATGATCTTTTAGTCAGCCAGGTGACTAGTCCATGTGGCCAGGGGTAGATCGCCGGCAGAAACAGCAAGCTCTTAAAACTGAGCAAACCATATCTCTCGTTACTGGTGGGAGTTTTAACTGTTCACTGTCCGATCTGCTGCTATGCGTTGACTGATTGGTTGATTGGTTGAAGTGGGGAGCTTAACAGCTCCAATACGTGTCGTTTTAAAACCACAATTCCAAAAATAGGTAACAACATAAAAAGTGGACCAGCCCGTCAACATAAAAAAACCGAAAAAGTTGCACTGAGTTAATATTCGTATTTATTTTAAACCCAAAAAAAAGATCTGCCTAGAAACATCATTCTAGCTCGACGCAGTGTTTAGAAGTTATACAAGAGATGCTCCCCCGTTTCTTCTGCATTTGATGGATTACAGCTGCAACTAGAAGGGTTTGATTTTAGTTATCATTTTGCCGCTTCACTACCCAAGACCCACTGTTCTCTTTGAATCATCCCGCATATCAAATTTATGCACAACCCAGCTTAAGGTTTAAACTCCCTGTGTCACACCTCTTTCTCACTACCCTAGGAGCTTTCGGAAATTGCGAATATTTATTCGCGCGACTAACTACATTAGGTCAATATCACTTTGCCAAGAAGAATACATTTTCTGTGCAATTTTTGAACCACCCTTTCGAGGGGCTTGTTAACCAGTAACAGTCTCTAAAATAGTCCTAAAGTGTAATAAAGTTCAAAGTGTCAGCGCAAAAGCACCGCGCACTGCTCTAAATGTGAAGTGGCAAACAAGAAGAGTTAAGTGTAAATGCTCGCTTGTGAGCATTTCGGTTTGAGGCGTGAGCAATTCATCAAATTTATTGCTTTCGAAAATTGGCAGTTGGTAGTTAAACAACAATAAAATCGAACCGTAACAATTTCAGTAATGGTTAAGTTTTGAAATAGTTTTTTTTTTTTTGGTTTTTCTTTTTTTAATGCTTGTAATCAACACTTGGCACGATGTTCAAAGGGATTTATGTTTATATATACATACAGACACAACGTCTAAGTCAATAATTGTGGCAACGAGTACGTACTGCTTAACGGTCTGTGGCAGCAATAAATGCCTACACCTTCATTCGCTTACATACATACATACATATGTATATGTTCTTACAGTTGCTTGCAATTTATAGCCAATTTGGCTTACTATGTTATTTTCGGTAGTACATAAATGCATAATTTTCGTGCATTAAAAAGGCATAAAAACACAAATAATTTGTTGTGGTGCAGAGTGATGTTAGAAATTGTGCAAACATGTGGCCGACATACCCTACATAATTTTGGGTTAAAAAGTGCACTAGCCAACCCACTGCTCTAAGGCTATACGTACTTAAATATACCTCAAAAAGCGAGTGTGTGTGTATGTGGCGGCCATTGTCACTGCCACTGCTACATGCTACCTTTTTTGCAATGCGCAATTATTATTATTTTTTTCTTCTACAAAACCTATTCTCGATTTTCCACTGTCGTACACGCTTTGACTGCAACTGTTGTTTACTTAATAATTAAATTGATTTATGTGACTGATTGATGTTTGAGCAGCAGCAGCAGCAGCAGCAGCGGCAGCAATAACGGTATTGTTGCCACTATTGTAATGTGGCATGAATGGCACTTAAGAATGCTCCAACAAGCATTGGTGGTGGCTACCAAGCGCGCTGACATGACGCCCAACCCATTTTTTGAAAAAAATTGAAAACAATAAAATCATTAAAATGGCACTTCTCGCGCTTGAGTCTTAAGCAATTTTGAGCGCTAAAGCTTTAGTCTTTGATATTTAGGTTGATTTTCACAACTTTGTTATTTACTCGATGGTTAATTGGAAAGGTTAAGGGCAGTCTATTGATTGTAGTGAGCTGAGCTGCTTGGGTTAATGAATGGCATGTGAGAATGTCAGTGAGTATTCATACATACATATGGACATATGAATGTGCATAGTAGCTGCATAATATCAAAAATTAAAACTATTTAATGGATAAACTCTTAATGTGGGAATCGAGGGTAGCTTTGCTTTCGTAGTGTTTGTTTTTTTTCTTGCTAGGCAGACATTAAAGAATCATTCAATTATGCTTCTGCTATGACAAAGTTTTCATAAAAAGCCATCTTGCGTTCAGAGGCGGCCTAAGACTTTAGTTTTCTCTATTTGTGTGACATCAAGACGCACTCGTTCACTTGTTAGAGTATCTTGGCAATCTTCTTGCTTTTGAAAGTCTAGCTTAGCTATTAAACAATAAAATCGCACACTTACATAAAGTGGAAATGCAACCTTTTTAGTTTTTATTTTGCAGTCTTGAGTCTCCAAGTATATTAGATTCAAATAAATGCAGTTTACCGATACTATGTTAATTCAATTTCCCCTTCACATATCTCTGCATACATACGTATTTATGTATGTTAGGGTGGGTAAATTTTTTTTTGACTATAGGACGATTCTATCTGCATTTATAAGAATTTGCCGAAGAAACCATGGGTCTAAAATCCATTTGGAGTTTGTCGAATTTTCACTATTGCGCCATCTGGTGGAAGTTTTAAGAAAAACATAAGTGCTGAAATGGATTCCTCATACCAAAAAACCCCTTATAGCATAGTACATGGTTGTAAAAAATTTAAGCACGTCTTTACGAGACCACAGCAAAATGCTAAGAAACCTATTTTCGCAGTTCAGCAAACTCTAAATTGATTAGAGACCCATGGTTTCTTTAGAAAATTTGCTAAGAATTACACGTAGAATACTTCTGTGATATAGGCGTATATTTAGTCGAAAAAAGCTCCCATACAAATTGACCCGCCCTAATGTATACACAACCTATATATGTAAGTATAACTACATGCACTCGTGGGTGATGTAAGTTGGCAAAATGATTTCAATTAGCAATTTAAAATCAACTTTTGCGCATATAAAATGTTTTTGAGCGTTCAATTGTCAACAGATTTAAATTGGAGCTTTCTATTCGTTTGCCAACAACTTGTGGACACTTACATATGTACACATACATACACCTACATACATACATACATACATAACTACAATGCATTTAGAAAATTTTTTCCTCTGTTCACAACATTTATTGTTATTATTGTTATTATTATTGTTGCAATAATCTTACATGTCTTTGCTTTGTCTGCTCTTCTACTTGTAGCACAAGCATTGCAATCGCACTGACTGCTTTGGTGACAACTGCCACAGCAACAACAGCAACAGCTGCAACATCAACCACTGCAACAATACAGCAACAACACATCGCTGTAGTCTCGGCTGCCTTAGCGCCACAAACAACAATACCAATCCCCACAGACCAGTGTCCACCATCCATCAACAATATAATTGGCTTGAATAATGAGACGAATAATAAAGCGAATAGCAGCAGCAGCAACAGTGCAGGCACAAGCAACTGCAACAACGACAACAATACGAACACTAGTAGTGTTGATGAAATGAACGATTGCAGCAGTGGCAGCAACATGAATGCCACAAGCAACAACATTAACATCCAAATCAGCAAAAGTGGCGACAACAACAACATGAATGGTGATGGCGATAGTAGCGGCATTATTGGAGGCGGCAGCTATACTGGCAGTGACAGCAGCGGCAGCACTACAATCATCCTTTCTGGCACGAACGGTAGCAGCGCCAGTGGCAGTGGCAGCAACAGTTGCCACAATAATCACAATAATCAACAGGAGAACAAAAGTGTGGCAACCATGCAATGTGGCTTTCGAATACCCACAGCTTTGCCAGCGGCAACAACTATGCCAACAATGTCTAATGTGACAGCAGCAACAGCAATGGCAGCGGCTGCAGCGGCAGCCGTGGCAGCCACTGATAATTTTATCATCTATCAGCAACAGCAACAACAAATGCATAAACAACATCAGCAACAACAACAACAGTTGCAAGCACAACAGCAACAGCATCAGCAACAGTTGCTACAACAACAGCAACAACATTTTGATGCGGCAATAAAGACATACGAACGTAGCGAGCAGCCACAGAGCATCGACATGAATTTCGGAGGTGTTGGAGGTGGTGGTGGCGCAGGTGGCGCAGGTGGCGTAGGTGGAGGTGCTGGCCTGATTATGACCGCCGGTGTTGGCGCCGGCACTGGTACTGGCACTGGTGGTATACTCAGCGTGGGCGGTTGTGCCTCAAGTGCGATTGGTGGTATTCATAGCAACTTGGAGAGCGAATATAGCGCCATGGTCGCATCGGTGTACGAGCATGAAACTGCCTTGTAAGTAGATATTATATAATATTGTTTACTATTAATGTAGTGTTAATCGAAAGGATGTAATTTTTTATGATAGATACTATTTTATAATATAATTTTGACTGGGTGTTTGGATTTAACGATTTATAAAATGTTAGTGGGTGAGCCTAGCCAACTCAGGTCAATTAAGATACCCAAGAAGTGCTTTCATAATCCTATATTTGCAGAACCTCAAACCACCAATTCTCATATTTTGTCGCACACAGTCGACCCATTTAAATGGGACTGAATCGCTTATGTGTGCGTATTAAGAAAAGATCCCCTAGAGATTTGCATAGCTATACTGTAAAGTATAACGCATTGTTATACCAGCTTGGTGGTCATTGGGATATATGATTCGATTTTTTAGTCCCCGCTGTATGGCTTTTTGGCGATTGATGGAGCTTTCTATAATCCCGGACGAAAGCAATAAGTAGGACACTCTTAGAACGTGGCTTTCAGCGCTCTATAACTAATAGAATGGATTGACTTTATGCTTTAAAGCAGAGTTAGTAAAACAAAAAACTAGGACCCTCACAGCTATGGGTAGGATTCTCGAAATCGCCTAGAACAACGGGAATAAAGGTTGTCGCCTATACTGTCGACTTCGTAATGCAAGTACTTATCTGAGGTAAATTCCTACCAACGATAAGTAACCTAATAAAAGGAGCACTAGGCAGGCTTATTTACCGGGCCAACAACCCATTCCGAAACAGAAATCGCATTTAAAAAAAAAAAACACATTTTTCTTGCCAAAATTAGAATATCTCATCCGAAGCGAAGTACCTAGCTATAACTCTTGATTCCTAACTTACTTAGTTAGGAAAACTGTGCACATTTAGGGCGAGAGGGCCGTTGCCCAGGGCGCCGAGTTTTGTATTGCATAAAATTTTCGAATGTGGACTTTCTTCATCTGTATCGTGCTTACGTCATATAATGCTCGGCTTCTGCTCGGCTTCTGCTCGGAATACTAACCGGACCCTTGACCATTGGTAATATGGCTACGAACCTACGAACCCTATATACAGACTTCTATAGAAGTTGTAGAGATGAGAACACATATAGCCGGCACACGTATTCCAGGATTTAGTCAGAAATAGCCCGAAGTCGTTCCCGTGCACACATTTATAATATCCGCATATCCGACTATTTCTGACTAGATCCTGGAGTACGGGAATAGGCTAATAGAAATCATCAAGAATTTCTAATGCAAGTACTCTGCACTTCGGATAAATCACCTCAAATTCGTTGGGGACCACTGCTGTAATAACTTGATAGTTTACAATGAGCTCCATTAGATGCTCTATCAGTATTCGTAAACAAAATAAGTATAGGTTAAGGACATGCAGAAACAGTCCTGGACTTGATTAAATGTGTTTTTGTATTGGCTAAGGCACTTTAGCATAATATTTTATTCAATTTTCATAGAAATTTTCTAACAGTGAGCCTCAGTATCAGTTTTGAAAGTAAGCCTGAAGGATAGGTGAAGGTGTTTTTTGCTAAAAGCTTTTTTTTAATCTCGAATTGTGAACTCCAACAAGCTACGTTTTAAGCTAATATTATAATGCCTAACTTTCCCTTAGGTTATTATGTGCCTGCCAGACTCATATGGGTACCAGCTCTTAGTGATGTTACAGAAAACTCCGCTGCCGCGTAGAGCACTGCTAATACCAGATTAAAACTTTTCACTAAATTTCATTTCTCATATGTACTAAACAAAATCTACTTATCTTCCCTTCTTCAACCTCCAAAGCACTGACGAAGTATTCCTTCCACTCACCTAACGTTTTTTAAAAATTGCCTCAAAATGAATTTGTTTTACAATCTTAATTAATTGTATGAATTTTTACTATTTCTACATAATTCATATATGTACTCCTAAATGGTTTTACACTCTTCTCGTTTTGGTATTACAAATATTTATATGTTCTTTGTGCTAATTTTCCGCCAAACGTCAATCAAAAATTCGTACTGAAATCGGTCAATTTGCCACAACCAACCACACCACCTCTCCGCACATACATAAATGCTATGTGCAATGCGTGCATATCGCAAATTTCATGCCGGTCGAGTTTAGTCTTAAGGCTACGGGCGTATTTAGTTGTATGTACAATATATATATATACACAGCTGTTTACACATTCGTTCATAATTCCTCGTCATTTCACAAATAAATAATTCACATTTACACAAATCCGCGCAAGCACGCAGACGCTTTGTCCGATATGCGATTAAAATCAACAAAGTGTTTCACAGAGCTTACCTTAAAAGTATAACCCACATATGGGGGGGGGGGAGGAAAAAAACTTCGCTTTGGCATTTTTTTGAGACGCTTCTACTTCTGCCGCGCAGTGCAGTGAAGCGAGAAAATCAGGTGGAAAATGAAGGTACGCGCGCGCCAAACTTGCAAGCGCGCGCACACACACACACACGCACACACGAGCATTTATCACACTCAAATTCGCAAATCCAAAAACAAATATTTTTACTTATATGCAACTGCAAATGTACTTACATACTTACATTCCTTAGTATATGTCAGTTTGTATGTTTTGTAGCCATATTTGTGCATTGCTGCGTGCAATTGTTGTTACCTTCTTTTATGGCTTGATGATTACTTGTAGCAACAAATATTGGCGCAATTGGGTTCCCTACAGTAGCTAGCGCTTCAGTTTAGCCTTTTTATTTTTTAACTTTGCCTTTTTTGCTTTACTTGCAATTCGTTTGCCATATTTGTATAATTGCCGACAAGCTGGCGAATGTGTAACGCTTTTCATTTGGTTACCTGCATGTCGTCGGTGGTTACTTGAGTACTTTAGTGCTTATAAGTGCATAAGTATATTTGTTTACACTTTTGTATGGTTCACATATGGACTTACAAAGCGAGCATAGAAGGCGCTCAAAGAATTTATATTTGAATTCGTTTGTGTATGAGTTTTCGATTTCGATGCAAATTCTCTTCATGGTTGAGTGAATGGCGCCAAGTGGAAATGTAAGATATTTGAAGGCTGCGTGTTTAGTGAAACTTTAGAAATTTTTTGTTCAACAAAAAAATATTTTTGATTAACGTTCAGCTTTTATGCTTTATATTGTTTTTTTTTTTTATGAGGCCAAATTTGCGTTAACCCAGCAGAAAATCTGTAATTGTTTCGTATGTTTACAAGTGAACATTTCTCGACTAGTTCAAGGATTTTTTCGGAACAATTTCGGGTTTAATTCGCAACTTATCTAGGACCATTTCGGGACCTGTTCAAGTGTGTTTCAGGATCATTCCGGCACTTTTTCGGAATCTTTTCGGGACTATTTCAGATCAGTTTGGCACTAGTTCATAACCATTTGGGGACTAGTTAGAACTATTTCAGTACCATTTCGGGATAGTTCACGACTGATTCAGGACCATTTCGGGCCTGGTTCAGGACTTGTTCGAGATACTCGTAAACCGGTTACTGTACCGGTACAAAGTTTTCTATGTGGTTCGAACGACTAAACCGAACCGCACCGTTATTTGGAGTGGTTTGCAGCCCTGTAGCTCGTTTCTGTAAAAATTCTCTACCAAGCGAATTGAGATATGAATTCGTCGCCCTGTTCTCTACTCCTAATAAGTACTTGAGAATGACGTATATTCTCTACCAGTAGAGAAATAATCGGTAGAGAAGCGTTACAAAAACGAGCTACTCTTTTGAAGTATACTAAACAAAAATATATATATTTAAAGTATTCTATTTCCATGTAGTACATTTCGTCCAATATTCGCTAATTTTAATTTTTTTATTTTTTATTTTCTCATTACAGCAGTGATCGTGCCTACGTAGCCTCGGACCTGACTTGCATGTACGTTAGCGATGAGGAGGATAAAAATTAGTTTCCGTTGACGAATTTCAACTAAAGCTGACGACGAAACACTTCCACTAACACACACACACACAAAACATACATAAATGTGTGAGAATTGTCACACAGAATTATAGAAATCATTGTGCAAAAATTCTGGTATGTAAATCATAAGGAATGTAAAAATTAGGGCAAGTTTTTCTACAAACGGCCTTTACACAGTAAAGAATGTGATTTTGAAAAGCGAAACTTTTTATATGTATGTTTGTGTTATTGCACGAGAAAAATAAAAACATGCAAGTGAAAAAAAAAATGTAGTGAAAATCGAGCACTAAAGTGTCGGCTTAGATATACAAATATACAAACATACATACAGACATACATATGTATATGCTTATACAAATTTAAATATATTTCCTTTCAACATTTTAATTATGTATGTAAGACAAATCTATCTATTTACTTGTTTATTTTAGTATATTTAAGTGTAAAATTAGTTAAGGCACTAACATTCTTACAAACACATACTTACATATACATATGTAGTTTTCTATGCAAAAGCTTTGAAAATTGGCTTGGCTAGTCGAAGAGCAAATAAGACGAAATTCAGGCGGAAAAATTCGTATTTTACACGAAAGGACGTACCCTTTCAACTAACTTATTTTTCATGAACTCACACAAAAAAAAACTAATTGGATTTTTTCCAAAAAGTTTAGCTTTGAAGGCTAAATATTTCCACTTTTTTAATCTTGGATTTTTCAAATAAAATAAAGTTTTAATACACTATTTTAGTGCATAAATTTTCTAGAAATTAAATTAAGGTAATGTTTTAAATATTCAGAAAAAGTTAAAAATGTTAATCAAGTTCTAAAAAGTTGTAAGGCTTAAGTTTGTGGAATACAGCAAACATATTTCAGAAGAAAAAATTATCATAAACTAATTTTTTTAATTTTAATTTTAAAATTTTTTTTTGCTAAAAATTTTATTTATTTCATTTTTGATTTCCTTGTTGTTTAAAGCGTTTTTGTGTTTCTCAAGGGCGGCTCTCGTCTAGAAAAGCACGAAAAGTAAAAACTGAATTTATCAACAAATAAGTTAAATAAAATTTATTAGGTAAACGAAAATTATCTTCTATGCTTAAAAAAAAACAATTTCCTAAAAAATTAACTTTAGAAACTCAAATTTTTTGTATAACAGAAGAAATCGGTTTAAATACTTTATGTAATAAAAAATCATTGAATTTTCAATGAAAATTTATAAAAAAAATAAGCATTTAATTTTTTCAATAAACAATTTATTTAATTCAATTATTTTTAAACACCTTCAAAAAATTTTTAAATTTTGATAAAAAATGAAGGCGTTTCAAAGCTTTGTCTATGATATTTTGTACCACATAAGTTTCTCTTAAAAATGTATACAAAAAAAAAAAAATAAGTAGAAATATTTTTGGTTAAATATTTAATCTTTTGATTTTCAAAATTTGATTTCCTTATTCCTTATTTCGGTTAGATTTATTTATTTTTTATTTTTTGTTTATATTATTCACATAACAAGCGAAACCAGATGAATGCTTTTCAAAAGCTTCTATAAATAGGATTTTTGCACACTTTTGATAACGTAAATATGTATATGATGTTAGGAAAAATTTTATGTGCATTTTTTATAAAGGTTTTCTGATGGAAACTTTTTTCAGCCTCCTTTCGGCAGCAAAATAAAAGGACAGCACTTAAAGCACGCTTGCATAGATACATACATACATACATACATACATATATAATATGACTATAATATTTTTTAAGCACTATAGAATACTTTTCATTATTGTTCTCATTAACTTACTTATTGCTCTTGTGGCAATTCAGTCATTATACACACATAGTTACATATGTACACACAATGCGAAACATATACATACACATATCGAAAATTGATTAAAATTATATATATGTTAGTTTTATTACTACTAATATAACGTTAAACTTAAATCGTGCATGCTATTCATTTACTTATGTATATACCTATACATATATATAGTATATATACTGATACAATTTATTTACATACAAAAAAATAAATAAAATACTGAAAAAAATTAATAAAGCTTTTTATTCAATTATTATATACGTTTTTTTTTCAATAGGAAACAAATTGAGTTTTCCGATGATTAAAATTATTTTACGAAAGTATGTCGGTACCTAAACGTGAAAAGAAACATTTTTTTTAATTGTTCAGCGGAGACATAAAATCGATGTAGTTTCGCATTATCTGTCATTCTGCAACAAAAGCTAAAAATTTTGAAAAAAAAGTGGACTTGGCACCTTACCAGGTAATGGTTGGATCACCAGTTGCGTTGTTGAAATTATTGACGCGCTGTTAAATCACTTACTGAATTAGATGAGTTACCTTCTTCTTCTTGCTCTGTTACCTTTGGCAAGCTGGAAATCTGGATGTAAGCAAAGAAAATGGCGAATCGATTCCTTGTTTTCTTCAACTAGACAACTTCGCCGATGATACATTTTTGTGGTATGCCATTTTGCAGCGAATTAAAATACAGCGGCTCCGCTGGCTTGGCCATGTCATCGGACGAGAAGTAAGGTGAGCATTATAACATAATAAAAAACATCTTAGTCCTCGGGTTTGACATGACATTCGCCTCTTTGTCTTCATCTCTATCCTATCCTTTTCTTTACAGTATTTGAATCTATGCCTTTATATTATTGTTGATCTGATTCTTCATTTTTATCTTAGGCTTTGTCTCTGCCAATATTTTTTTCTGCCTTAATTTATGGCTCTGGTTTTGTTTTTAACCGACTTCAAAAAAGGAGAAGGTTATCAATTCGTCGGAATATTTTTCTAAAATTCTTCTTTTAAAGGAAAGGAAGGTGGTCCCATACTAATTTAGTTTAGATCCGATTATGGTACTTTACTTTATTACTTGTTATTTTCGTCTTTGTATTAGTATTTGTTAGCGGCTTTGTCTATTCCATTGTCTTTCGTGTTTGTTTTTATCTTAACATTAATCTTAAACTGAATTTTGAACTTCATTTTCATCTTCGTCTTTCGAAAGACTTTGGTGAGGTGAAAGACAGTTGCCAGCATTGCCCTGTTACTCTTGCCAGACTCCGGGAGCAAAGCCCACCTATGTGCATATTTATGTAGTTAGCTAACATTCTAAAATCTTGCATTCAATTCTGTTCCGAGATATTTTCCTATAAACGTTGTAAGTATGTGTGTATGTATGTATGTATGTACGTTTGCAAAAATACCCCAAACCATATTTGCATGTTGTTCAAATTAAATTTACAGTAATTTGGCGTAGACACGCGAGAGTGTTGTATGGATATGTCGAACAGAAGTGCACGGAAGCCAAAAATGAAAAATTGCCAAAGTCACGTTTCTAGCCAAGTACTAACTATCTAACAAACACACACACACACACACATGCACATATATAATATGGCAACAACAGGTGTCAATGGTACATATGTTGGCAGCATAGAGGCAAGGCACCAACAAAACAATAACAATAAACACAAATAAGTTTATTGACTAAATTAAATTGGCAGACAGTGGAAAATGAAAATAAAGGCATCACCTACATTTTTGGTAACAAATAGTTATATTGGCAAGGAGAATAAAAATTAAAAAAAAAAATACAATCAATGACTGCACCAATGAATGAATGAGAATGTTTGCAGCCAATTAACCGAAACGCTTGAATGGCAAAAACAAACAACAAAAACGTTCAACAGCGTCATACGTAAACGGAAGGAACGCGAAGCCAAAAAATCGCCTAAAAGTGTAACAGACCGAAAATGTCCAAAATTCGAATGCGAACGTCAAGAGCAAGCCGGGTAGGTAATTAGCCGCAGCAGCCCATTTTGCGCGCAAAAAAGCCAAGACAGCATTAGCATTTGCAAATACACGCTACAGCAGGCACAGTCGTCGGCCAGCAAAGCAACCAAGGTAAATGCTTGTTGGCCGTAAATTTGCTCGGATGGCTTCTTTGCGCTGTGAATTTTGTGTGCCCAAGTTGTTGCTGCCCAAGTTGCTACTGCCGCGGCGCAGCCACAGTTCAATTGCACGCCAATTGTCGTTGAACCTTCTCGCCACGCAGCGTTCGTTCCGCCAGACCTTTCTGCCCTCTCCGCCACTGTGCTCGTCCACCACCACTCTAAATACTACGAAGAGCAAGCCGGCAAACGAACGCTGCTAGCCTTGTTTTGAACTTTTACGCCCGTCTCGCCGGGGTCACACATGTTGGCCGCTCCGTGTGGGTCGCGCTCACAAGACTTTCAATCGTCGATGCTGCGCTTGCTGCGCGCGCGCCTAAACCATGCCAATCATGTGCACGATATTACCGCTTTGGTCATGTCGCAATTACTAAGCCATCGCCAGCGCTCACGTTCAACAAGCGCGACGAAGCCAAAGTACTACATACAACTTAAATAGACCTTTTTAACATTATAGTGAACAGTGAACAGTGAACAGTGAACAACAAACCGCTAAACAATTGCTCGCAATTATTGTTTGTGCGCATGCGCATGCGCCATGCTTTTCTTTTCTTTTTTGATTTTTCTTATTGTTCGCGAATTGTAATTGAAATTGGTTCACAATTGTTATTGTACACTATTTTACATTATTGCTGTTGTTGTGAGTTGTTAATTTTTCTAAGTGGCGTTGCTGGAAATGACCAATTTAGGCGCTTGGGTCGTTTAGTCCGGCTCTGTTAAGTATGGCTTTGGTTTAGTTCGGCTAAGATGTGGAAGAGGCGGAGAGAACAAAACTGCCGCCCAGCTTTTGACTTTGGCTACTAATTGGCGATGGGGTGGCTACTATTTTCCAATTTTTTTGTTGTTATTTTTCAATTGAACGCATTTTGAGTAGCCACATCGCTGCTAAGTTTCCATTCACTTTTGGTGTAGCTTTTATTTTTAAAATAATTTTATGTTGAATTTTCTACGTTTCAGGAACTCGGGCAGCAGGTATTCTAACAAAATAATAGGTTTGCGTGGGAAGTCGTAACTCCTATGTAAACTTAACAGACCCTTTCACGAATCTTACTAGTTTGTCTAGAGTACTTCGTTCATTCTGAATATGTCATCTAATTGTAATTTTTTGGAAACTTATTTTCTGTATTTTTTCTTCTTAAATTTTATATTTTATATTTTTTTATTTGTTTAAAGAGAAATTTTTCTTCTTGTCCAATTTAATTTTCGTTTAATTTTTAAATTTTTTAGTTTTTCAAAGAAAGTTGTTTTTATTCAATTAAATATTTAGGTGTCTACCTTTTTCCAAATTATTCATTTTATCTAATTTAGTTTTCTTTTAAATTTTCATTTCATTGTTTTATAAATAAAATATATATTTTTTTTCATTTAATTTTTAGAAACTTTTTTGATTTATTTAAATTTTTTATTTAATAAATTTTTTCTTTTTTAATTCAATCTTTCCTTAAGTTTTACAGTACATTATTTAAAATGTGAAATATGTTTTTTAATTTAATTTTTAAGAACTTATTTTATTTTGTTCAACTGATTAATTTTTTCGTTCTGTAATATAATTTTCTTTTATCTTGTCGATTTTATTGTTTTAAAAATAAATTTTTTTTAATTCCATTTTATTTTTAAATGCTTTTTTACTAATTCAAATGTTTTTTAATTTCTTTTATTTTTTTACTTTATCTAATTTATCTTCTTTTTAATGTGCTTATTTTCATAAAATTTTTGGATTCTTTATTTTAAAAAGTTTTTTTAATTCAAC